GTTCATATGTGTACTGGTGTAAATGAGTGTTATGTAGTTATATAATACATGTTTAGAATCATCGCTTTATTTTGTGCTTTTTATATTTGTTATATTTGTATGATACTTATCTTGAAGAAGGGTGCTGATGAGCTGTCAATAGAAGATATACCTGGCGCTAACACATATTTCTGTTACTGAGTACAGATTTTTGCCGATATTCATTTTTACCAATTTCTAACCAAAACGTATTATCAGAGGAGGATTTTAGAGCTATATTAATTAGCATATACAGTGTGGTTAACAAATGCAATGGGACATTATATAGGTGAATATGCCCTTCACATTAATCCTTTAGCATGCCGTAAAGATCTTATTTTAAAAACATGAAGTCTCTTATAATTTCTGTTAGTTTCCTGCTATAATTTGAAATGTTTAACAAAAGAAAAAATGCTTCTGTTTTCCAGGTGTTTTGGGCTGTGGATTTATTTACTACTGGTTAAAAATTCTGTAGCATGAAAACTTATAGTTTAATAAAAGAGTAAGAGAGAAAGAACTACAGATAAACGAATCAGCAGGGTTTTGGTGGCCAGGTGGCTCTCACCCTACTCTTGTTGCTTGGCACTGGGATGTCCAGATGTCCTTTATAAGGATATAAAGGCCTTACAGACAAGGGCCTTTAGGGGTCGTGCAATCCAGCCCACCATCTCAGGAAGCAGTGTTTTCTGTGTCTTCCTTGTCCATTGGATATCCTGCTTGTTTGAAAGTTTCTCTCGATGGAGCGTGGAATGTTCACCATCTAATGTGGCAACCCCTTGAGTAGCTTTAATGTTCTTATTCAATTCCTCTTGTGCTGAGCGGAAAAAACTTCCTTGTGACTTCTACCCATTGATCCTATTTGTGCCTTCTAGGGCAGTTTTTAAAAGTACAGCCTTTTGCATATCTTTTCATATAAATATATTTTAAACAATCTGGCTATCCAGTGGACAGGGAAGCTATTGAGGTGTCTCTTGTTTCTTTTACTCTTGTGACTTTTGTTCCTCCTTCATGCAGGACTACAGTGTATTGAGTAGGAAGAATGTTTAGCAGTTAAGAGACTTGACTTAGCCACCTATTTGACTTTGAGCAAGTTTCTTCACTTATTGGAGCCTGAATTTCTTTTTTTCTTTTTCTTGAGAAAGATTAGCCCTGAGCGAACATTTGTTGCCACTTCTCCTCTTTTTGCTGAGGAAGATTGGCCCTGGGCTAACATCCGTGCTCATCTTCATCTACTCTATATGGGACGCCGCCACAGCATGGCTTGATAAGCAGTGCATCGGTCTGCGCCTGGGATTCGAACCTGCGAACCCCGGGCTGCTGAAGCAGAGTGTGCAAACTTAACCGGCACACCACCAGGCCCGCCCTGGAGCCTCAGTTTCTTGAGGGGATGAAACTCAATTACTCTGTGGGAACCATGGTCTATTTGTTGCTGGTAATTGAGGTTGTAGGATTGGCCCATTCCTGTTTTTGCCGTAATTTCTTACATCTGGGTCAGAAACCATTTCTGCTTTCTTCTTAATGGCATAGTCCAATTAGGGATGAGATGTGGCTACTTTTTGCAAAATCGAGACAACGTAGCAACCATTTGTTCAAATTAATATCTGGAAGTGAGCAGAAAATAGCTGAACGTCTTAGGAGATGATTTGTTTGTTGGTTTTGCCTTTTCTCTCATGTTCAGTGGTTAGTGATGTGGAGATTATTCCACCTTACATACTAGAAGCCTTCTATAAATACTTATTTAATGAATCGTGAAAGATTGAGGTGGTACCATTTTTTTCTTTTCAATGCCTGCCTCTTAGTCTGTGGCAAGTAGTCGTTCTCAGCTATAAGGCTCAGTTATCTTAAGTATCTTATCTCCACGACTAAGGCCAATGGAATCACTTTGAGGATTTATCTAAACTTTGGTATATGTGTCTGTGAACAAAATTATTGATACTCTATGTATGTTTTTGAGCTACAAGATTTAAGATGCTATTTTGTAAATTGTTAATAATGGTGCATTCCAGAAATTCTGGAAATGTGGAAAAGCATTGGATACGCTTTCATCATAGATGTTCTGAGACGAAAGCCATCACAGAACATTAAAACAAAATGGTGCTCCCTTTGACCTATGGGCTTTTGCCCATGTGTGGTACCTTCACATAGGGTGACTATGAATCCTGAGCTGGAGATTCCATTTGTTACTCAGTTTTCTAAGAAACATGACCTCTCTCCCCCTTGGTGTACAGTGGCCAAGTTGATTAAAAGGAGCACCAAATTCTAGGGTAGAAAATTATTTGAGAATATGGGTTAGTCGTTTGTGTGCCTGGTGTGAAATAAGTCAGGATCACAAGTTACATTTTGTTCCTCAGAATTCCAAGGGATGAAGCAGTGTGCGGACAAGCCAAGCAGAGCAGGAGGGCAAATTATTTATTTGAAACAATGTATGGTCACATTGAAATTAAGCCAAATCAAGTGGTGTTTGAAAAGAGAAAAGCCTTGAGAAATAAGCAGTGATTAAAAGAAAAAAAAGCCTAGGTATCCTTGAGCTGGACTGGATTGAAGAGGAATGTACGGCGAAATGTTTTTCTCCCTTGGGGCCATCGCCACATAAGCCCAGTAACATTTTTATCTTTCAAAAGACCTAATTTTTTGCAAAGATCACGTTGGCTTCCGTTTCTCTCCACGTGGACTTGAGCTGCCCCGTACAACATGGTAACCATGATACTCATGTAGCTCTTGAACACCAGAAATGTGGCTACTTCAAATTGAGATGTGCTGAGAGTATAAAATATACACCAGATTGTGAAGACTTAGCATGAATAAAAAGCAAAATATTTCATAATTTTTAATATTGATTGTGTATTGAAATCATAATATTTTGATTATGATTTGATAATATCATAATATTAGATAGCTATAATAGCTAGAAATATATTATTAAAATTAATTTCATCTGTTTCTTTTTCCTTTTTAATATGGCTACTAGGAACTTAAAATTACACACGTGGCTCTCATATTTCTGTTGGACAGCACTGGTCTAGAGCTAAAGTTTTCTAGTTCTAAACATAGAACTGATCCAAAGTTAAGAAAATAGAAGTGGTCAGCCACGGATGCTGAGCCTGGTGTCACATGTGACATATGGGATTCTTCCTGCAATGGTTGGGGTCTCGTTAGGAGACAGAAACCACACAGTGATTGAACAGGGAAAGTTTAAAGAATTATTAACATGGGGTTAACTACTGAGAGAGAGAGAGAACTCTAAAGAATATAGGAAGAGCACATGATGGGAGCAACTGCTACCTCCAGGGCTGAGGCAAAGCACTTTCGGAAGAGAGAAATTTGGAGGAGGGTTCTTTCTTCACCCCAGACCTGAGATCTAGGCCTCGGTGGAGAGGGCACAGCCTTGGCCCACTTGATGATGGAGAAGTTGGGGGAGATTCTGCAGGCTGGGGGAAGCCACCCACAGGGTGCCAGGAGATTTCTCTGGGAAGCTGCCCTCCGGGTGCCATTGGAACTTGCTGGGGGTGAGCACCATCCAGTGCCCCACGTGCTGCTATCCACTGCAGGTTGCAGGAACGGTCAGAGCACAAAGGAACCAGGAAGAGAAGCCCCTTCCTTCTGCACGCCCCTCCAGCATCCTCTACTGAAAAAACTTAACATTATGCCAGTTGATGAAGAAATGTTGACAGGGTCCAGCTCCACTATCATAAAGCAGGGCAAAAAAGGATGCATTTGGAGCTGAAAAGAAATAAGTTGATAACTGTCACTGTGTAAGATGCTCTATTTTTTAAAAAAAATAAGATAGTTTGGTGTCAAGACATAGGGCTACCACACCCACACCCCAAACATTCTAGTTAGATGAAAATCTTTCATTTTGTTATTTTATTGAGGTTAACACTGGTTTATAACTTTATGAAGGTTTCAAGTGTACAGCATTATGATTCAACATCTGTATATACTACAGTGTGTTTACCACCAAAAGTCTTGTTTCCATCCGTCACCATACAATTGACCCCCTTTACCCATTTTGCCCTCCCCTTCTGGTAACCACCAATCTGTTGTCTGTTTCCATGAGTTTGTTTTGGTTTCATTTCTTAGTTTGTTTTGTTTTTTATGTTCCACATATGAGTGAAATCGTACAGTATTTGTCTTTCTCCATCTGACTTATTTCACTTAGCATAATACCCTCAATGTGCATCTATGTTATCACAAATGGCAAGATTTCATCTTTTTTATGGCTGAGTGGTATTCCATTGTATATATGTCTTCTTTATATATGTGCTTTAAAGAAGTACATCTTCTTTACCTGTTCTTCTGTTGGTGGGCACTTAGGTTGTTTTCATATCTTGGCTATCATAAATAATGCTGCAGTGAACATAGGGGTACATATATCTTTCTGAATTAGTGTTTTTGTATTCTTTGGATAAATAGCTAAAAGTGGAATAGCTAGGTCATATGGTAATCCTATTCTTAATTTTTTGAGGATTTTCCATACTGTTTACCATAATGGCTGCACCAAATTTACATTCCCACCAGCAGTGTGCAAGGATTCCCTTTTCTCCACGTCCTCTCCAGCACTTATTTCTTGTCTTTTTGATAATAACCCTTCTAATGGGCATAAGTTGATATCTCATTGTGGTTTTGATTTGTATTTCCCTAATAATTAGTGGTGTTGAACATCTTTTCATGTACCTGTTGGTCATCTGTATGTCTCCTTTGGAAAAACGTCTATTCAGATCCTCTGCCCATTTTTTTATTGGGTTGTTTGTTTTTTTGTTCTATGAGTTCTATATGTATTTTGGATATTAACCCTTTATCGAGAGAATCATTCATTTTAAAAGATTTTAGGAAAGAGTATGTCTTCTCTTGTTTGCTACTGTCTTTATATTTTAAGCAGTGAAAATATTAAATAGCAAGTGGCCAGTTTCCAGTAGAAATGTTGTCTTGGTGTTTGCTTCTTTCATCTAAGTTCTACTCATTGCTTTGTTTATTCCTGGTAGTGTTTGACTACAGTTACAGAGATTATGTTCTGTCCTGGTATGGAAACCTCAGCAGAGATGAGGGACAGCTTTACCATCTGCTCTTGGAAGACTTTTGGGAAATTGCCAGACAGCTGCGCCACAGACTGAGCCACGTGGATGTGGTTAAAGTCGTCTGCAATGATGTTGTAAGAACTTTACTCACTCATTTCTGTGACCTGAAAGCTGCAAATGCCAGGTAATTGTTATAAACAACCCTTCCTCCTTTTTTCACATTAAAATATTTTTACTGAGTAGGGTGTACGTCAAAACAAAACTCGAGCGTATTCTTCATCTTGCTGACAGTTAGCTGGAAATGTAGACAAATTGAGGGGGGATAATTATGGTGTTCTGGTAGAATAGGGCTTCTTAAATAACTTGCTAATGCAAAACTACTTTTATAGACTTGCTTAATTTTATAAATAACGTAAACAGTGAAATGAATTTTACTGAGCCAGCACTATCATGAACTTATTTCTAGTGTTATGGGTACTTAGAAAATTTAAATATAGTGTTATATACTGTGAAGAATGTCAGTGAGTTTACAATTTTTAGAAAAGTTTAAATTTTTTGTTTCTTTTTGTGAGTCCTGTGTTAAGAGCTCTGTTGTATCACAAGATCTGAAAATCGATTTTTATTTATTTTTTTTGTGAGGAAGGTCAGCCTTGAGCTAACATCCATGCCAATCCTCCTCTTTTTTTGCTGAGGAAGACTGGCCCGGGGCTAACATCCGTGCCTTTCTTCCTCCACTTCATGTGGGACGCAGCCTCGGTGTGGCCTGATAAGCGGTGCATCGGTGTGCGCCCGGGATCCGAACCCGGGCCGCCAGCAGCGGGCGCGTGCACTTAACCGCTACACCATGGGGCCGGCCCCTGAAAATCAATTTTTAAAAGGAACTTAATATTGGAGTTTATGGGCTGTAATTAGAGAATGTGGAAACATGCAATGTGAAAAAAATTGTGAAAATTGCTAATATTAGGCTTGTTAGCCCTTTAGACTGTTACGTTGACAAGGTTTGTCTGTGCCTCTGAGGTGACTCTCTGCCTTTGGAAGAGAACTTAACAGGCCATTTCTGTGCTCATAACCAATTCTTACTTTCTCAGTTCGCTGATAGGATCTTAAACGTATGTCTTACTCTTGAGTGAGTGCGAGAGTGATGAATGATAGCGCTTCTAACTCGTGCGTAAAAAGTCGTCTTATTGAAATGAATAGCCTTCTGCCTGTTTGGATCTGGACTCAGGTGGGGCTCCCTACAGTTAATGTGGCCTGTTCTCACTGATATTATTCCTCATTACTATTCCTCTACTTTCAGGGAAGAGAGAAAGTATTTAAAAATAACAGAAGAGGGTAGTTAAGCACTGGCATCCTTATTGAGCAAGTGGCAACTCATATTCTCTTCTGAAAAGTCCTGTTGTGTGAACTTATCAGAAAGCAGTCCGTGTTCTGCCCTGGGATGTTGCTCAGCGACTTGGCTGCTAAGTGTGGTTGTGCAGCCACAGCTCTCCATTCTCCGATGCCTCTTGCCGTGAATCGTCTTCTCTCCCCATGTCTGCCTACCTCAGGCTTATGAGGCCAAGATCCACAGAGCCATCATATGCCTATTATTTTCCAGTTTGCTGCCCCCAGTGTTTTGCAAACTTTTTAAAAACTGTGACCCATAGTAAGAAATACATTTTGTATTGTGACCCAGTTTCATACAACAATACTCATTACCTCTGATAACTTTGATATTTTTTGTTCTTTAACATTTTTTAAATGAGTTTGAGACTAAATTTTATTTCATTCCTGTGAGTCACAACCCATAGTTTGAAAAAATTATGGTAGGGCAGTGGTCTCAGATTTTGTGGTCTCAGGATCCCTCTATACTAGTAAAAGTTATTGAGGACCTAGAATAGCTTTTGTTTGTGTAGATTGTATCTTGTGGTGTGCTGCAGCCAGCTTGTACTGGTTGGCAAGAGCTGATTGTGCACATCGCTTCCCAGCGCTGAGTTCAGCGGTATCACGTCTGCAGCTTGTAAGTGGCCATGGTGGGCGTATTTACACTGTGAAATGGGCAAATGCTACAAATCAGAGCTTTTTTTCCCACGGAGAGCCAAGTGTTAAACAATTTAGCAGCTCACCACTCATTATATCTGTCAGTATTTACTGTATTAGATATTAAAACTAAGAAAGTTTTATTTATTTATTTATTTATTTTTTTTGCGAGGAAGATCAGCCCTGAGCTAACATCCGTGCTAATCTTCCTCTTTTTGCTGAGGAAGACCGACTCTGAGCTAACATCTATTGCCAATTCTCCTCCTTTTTTTTTTCCCCCAAAGCCCCAGTAGATAGTTGTATGTCATAGTTGCACATCCTTCTAGTTGCTGTATGTGGGACGTGGCCTCAGCACGGCCGGAGAAGCCACGCATCAGTGCGTGCCTGGCATCCGAACCCGGGCCGCCAGTAGCGGAGCACGCGCACTCAACCGCTAAGCCACCAGGCCGGCCCTAAACTAAGAAAGTTTTAAAAGTGTGAGAATACACAGCACACTTTCCATTAACCATCAGAGTGGTGATGTCATCACACATCATGTAGCCTCTGGAAAACTCCACTCTGCTTGTGAGAATGAGAGTGAAAAAGACAAATAACCTTTTTGTGTTACTATGAATATAGTTTTGACCTCACAGACCCCCTGAAAGGGTCTTGAGGACACTCAGGAGTCTCCAGACCACTCTTTGAAAACTGCTGTGTATAGAGGAAGTAACTTCCAGTAAGGAATTGTGTGAACTAATAAGGAAAGTGAGAGGAGTAGGCCTCTTGGGTGACCTCCCTAGAGTCTCGAAAACTTCAGCCTCTCCTTTCTAGTGTTTACCAACCCCTTGGAGCACCTGCTAGGTTGCTGTGCCATCTGTTATATAAAGTGCTCCTCAGCTCTGCCTGGTAGATACTGTCAAAGACTTGTTTTGAATTCAGCAGAAGCTCATTTTAAAAGAAAGCATTTAAATTATGGTCCGATAGAGGACAGTATTTTATTTTATTTTATTTTATTTTAATTTTTTTATTATTATTATTTATTTATTTTTTCCCCCAAAGCCCCAGTAGATAGTTGCATGTCGTAGCTGCACATCCTTCTAGTTGCTGTATGTGGGACACGGCCTCAGCATGGCCGGAGAAGCGGTGCGTCGGTGCGCGCCCAGGATCCGAACCTAGGCCGCCAGCAGCGGAGTGCGCACACTTAACCGCTAAGCCACGGGGCCGGCCCGAGGACAGTATTTTAAATCAGTGTTTTCTTCCAGTTAGAACACTGATGGATTTCAGTGTGGGAGAAGACCAAGTGGTTAGAGAAATTTGGTATTTTTGTGATTACCTAATTTCAACACGAGAATATATTTTTCATTGAGACATTTACCAGCTTCTGAAATTACTGCTGTTATGGATAATAGAAAAATATTATGGGTACAGCATCAGAATAATAGAAACAGAGAATTGATTCCATTTTAGAAACTCCTTCTCTTTGGGCTTCTAGTTTTCTTATGCCCAGGGTAGATTTATTTTACTGATACCTAGGCTATGCCTGGAAGCTCTGGTTGATGATTCTTATTAAAGAAAAAAATCTACCACTGTTCTCTGGGATAATGGGTATTTGAAGAAGTGCCAATAGGTCACTGGTGTTTTGCATATAGATGATCGTGCCCCGGAGGTGAACCCTGGAGAACCAATATCTGGTTATGCATCATCTTCTGCAAATCACACAGTGAGACTGGCAGGCAGTGCTTCTAGGTTTGATGGCTTTAGCTGTACTTGTCTGCCCCAGGTAAACAGTGTCCTCATCCTAGAAATCTCCATTGGTGTGCAGATATCTATTGGCTGCAAAATGACTTTGGCAGCCTGGGAAGCACCCAATTAAATTGGCCACTATCAGACAAGAGAATAATAAATTGCATTAATAAAAGCAACACATCCTCTGATTGACTGTCGCAATTGTGTGGAAGCAGCTTCTGATCAGCCTGTATTTATTTCCAGGCCAACATTCTGTTGCTGCTTTAAGCCAATCCAGATCACATTTAATTCTTGCCTCTGCTCCTTCTTCCCTTGTCCCATCTGTCTTGTTCCAGCCTGGTTCAGGAAAATCTAAAAATCATTGTTTTTATGCTGTTAAATCAATAGCATCTTTAATTTTGTAGTCTCCTTCTTAATAATCTCTGCATTTTGTTTACCAGTAAAGCACTGGCATCCTGGTTAAGGGAAAAGAATGTTGTTTTTTTTTGTTTTTTTTTTTTGAGGAAGATCAGCCCTGAGCTAACATCCATGCCAATCCTCCTCTTTTTGCTGAGGAAGACTGGCCCTGGGCTAACATCCGAGCCCCTCTTCCTCCACTTTATATGGGATGCTGCCACAGCATGGCCTGACAAGCGGTGCGTCGGTGCGCACCTGGGATCTGAACCCCGGCCGCCAGTAGCGGAGCACGGGCACTTAACTGCTACGCCATGGGGCTGGCCTCCCTAGAAAAAAATGTTTTTCTTCACAGATTTTTCTTCTTTATCTCTGAAATATTTTTCCCTTTCATCTTTGTAATCTCTGATTATGGTGTAGTGTGAAGAGTCTGACTTAAGAGTCAGACAGAACAGGACTTAAGGATTTTTCTGCCATTTGTTACCTCTGTGATTTTGGACTATTCAGTTAACCATTCAGATCCTTAATATTCTCATCTATAAAATGGTGATGATGCTATCTACTTGTCGGTGTAGGCGGGGAGATTAAGTATTAATTGCACATATGAAACTTACAAAAGGTTAATGTCCTTTTGCTCACTCAAGGTATGAGAACCCAGAGGTAAGTAGTAGGAATTGCAGTAAGCAAATAATTGATCCACACTGAAGAAGGATGCTGCCAGGACTGAGGCTACAATCCACCAGAAGGCTAGATGGACATCTCCTAACCCAGAAGTAGCCGTATGCTTCATGTTCCTTTCTTGGCTTCTAAAGCAATGCTTGATGTCCACTTACTAGAGGGCACCATAGGAATATCCAGCTCAGAGTCAGCAGAGGGTTCCAGAGAGCACTCAGCTTTCCTTTTACCGTAGATCAAACTTGTTTGACTAACTGTTTGGTCTTTGGCTCACTCAGAAGCTTTTCCCCTAACTCAGTTCTAGGCGGGAGAGGAACTTGTGGAAGTCTGGGGACCAGGCTCCTTTTATTTTGTGCCTTCCGTCGGAACAGAGAAGAGACTGTGTATACCTAGAGAGAGGTTTTGATATTATATAAAGAAGCTTCTCTTGTTAAAATGGATTTTTTGAGGGCCAACTTCCCCCAATAAATATCAACCAAATATACATTGTAGAATAAAGTTTTACCCTTAAAAGTGCTTGACATGACAAAGTAGGGTCTAATCTTACTATATTAAAATAGTAACTCTAGCTGACTGCATAGCTAGAGTTTAAAATGATTAAAGATGCCATTTTTTAAAAAGTCAGCATATATATCAGTGTATGTACAAAGGCTGACTCTTAAAATCTCTGTTCATGTTGTTGGCTTTGCATGTTAGGATTGAATCCCTCTTGCTTGTTGTAGAAGAGAAAGAGGAAACCTTTTTTTGGTGTTCATACTCTAGAAACTAGTCTTCAGTCTCTAGTCCAAAAAAGGAAAAATCCCAGCTAGCTCCTGGGAGACGCTAGTCATAAAGGCACCAATATGCATTTATTTGTTTCATTTCCTATGTGGCACCTAGTATGCTTCCATCCCCCTGTTTAGTGTTTTTTTCTTTTTCTTTCCAGTATTGGCCGTTAATTACTATAAGAAACCCATAAACTTTAACGTCTTGTCTGGAAGATATTAGAAAAATTAGCTTCCTAGTCTTTCTTAAATTGCTATCAAGAGATTGTGGGAAAAGGATATATAGAAAGTTCTACTTTTTACTTCTCTTTACTCAAATCCTCCAAATTGACTGTCCTGGGATGGTGATGGGGTCAGTGCTGACAGGGAGTCCGTGACTAAGGTTGGTAAGACTGGAAAATACTTGGGAGCCTCACGGAAGGCAATTTGCCATCCAGTTATGTAGCATCAAGTCGTAGACCCTCTCCTCAGTACAGATACCCAATAGACCTTTTATCCTGTGATCACCCAGTCAGGAGAGCTGGCTGGTGACCCTGGTTTATGCTTTGTTAGATTTTTTTTTTTGAAAAATGAAGCTGTAGATCATGTTTAAGAAGAGATCTGAGACTTAAAAATAATCTAGTTAAAGAAATACTCATACGTTTCTGGGTTGTTGCTGTGATTTGGGAGTGATATATAACTGTTGATGCTACTTAAGATTTGAAATCCTAAAAGGCCGTGTATTTGCATTTTTCAAGGTTAGTCTGTGATTGAGAATTATTGACTATTGATCTTGCTGAGAAGTGGCTGCAGTTATTAAAACCAATGTATTGCCCATTTGAAATATTTTTTACCTAATGGTATATAACCGAATTGTTTCTAGAGATTTCTTTCCTTTTCCTTCTTCATTTATTTATTTTTCTAGACATGAAGAACAACCGAGGCCTTTTGTGTTGCATGCATGCTTAAGGAACTCGGATGAAGAAGTCAGATTCCTACAAATGTGCTCTCGGGTTCTGGTGCTCTGTCTCCTCCCCTCAAAGGATGTCCAGTCTCTCAGCTTACGTATAATGCTTGCAGAAATTCTCACAACAAAAGGTAGACTTTTATAAGTAATTGGTGTTACTTATGTGATGATAATTGTGCAAACGAATGTGCTACACACTAATGTGATAACACATTATATGACACCCATGCAGACTTTGTATACTGTGGGACGTAAGGGAAAGACTGTCAAGTTTATTTATTTATTTATTTTTAAATTTTATTTATTTATTTATTTTCCCCCAAAGCC